TTCAGTGTTGTCATGGTATCATGAACCAGTCCAGAGTATGGAAAGCTCTATAGAACCAACGACCAGGTGCCCCAAAAGTCAATGGCATAAAAAGAGGCAGAAGGGATTAAAAGAGACTTGAGAGTCATATTAATTAAATGAAATATGTAGAAATTATTTGGACACTGATTCCAAGACAGCAATCATAAAAATAGATTTTTAAAACAAGCATAGTATGAAGGGATTATTGTTAATTTGGCTGAATATGATAACAGCATAGTTATTATATTTCCTAAAAATTCCTTCTCAGTTTCAGATATAAACATAGTATTTATAAGTAAAAATGCAATAAACTATGGGGTTTTCTTTAAAATATTCTAAAACAAAATGCCAGTTGTTATGGTTTGTGTCCAGATGTCCCCCCAAAGCCTCGTGCAGTTTTAGATGGGACTTTTTTAGAGGTAGCTGAAACTACAGTGTGTGATTGATGTATAATGCAATGCTGTGATTAAGGGTGCTGGGATTAAGGGTGTGAATGCTACACCCACCCTAGGGTGAGTAGCCTGCCTACAGCATAAGGGGCAGAAAGAGGCTTGTCCCCGCTCTCTCTTCTCCCTTGTTGGTTTTGCTACCTTGCAGGTGCTATGAATTTTTCTCCTCTGCAACACCCATCTGTCTTGGAGCCAGCCAATTATGAACTGAAACCTCTACGAACTGTGAGCTAAATAAACCTTTCTTCTTTTAACTTTGGGTGTTGGGTATTTTGTCTCAGCAATGAGAAAAGTAACTAAGACATCAGCATATATGAGATAATAAATAAAAATAACACAGTTAATATTCTGATAATTTTAAAGCTGGGTAATGGATAGAGGGATTCACTATATCATTCTATTTTTATATGTTTGAAAATTTCTATAATTAAAGCTTTTTAAAACACATACGAAAAAGCAAAAGTAAGTAAGCAAGTGGTGCAGGGATGGACACTTTGCTCTGCAGTCTAGGTGAGAGATTGGGTGCCTTGTGCTCTGCCTCTATCAGTGACAGTGAGAAGTGAGTGAATTCAGTAGGTATCTGGGATGTAGAAAATAATTTTCTAGTGCTAGTAGGAAAGGAAGAAACCACTTAACTTTCTTCTACTGTAGAGGCCAACAAGACGGCAGCCATGTGTGAAAATTAGCTTCCCCCACAGCCAGTGTTCACAAAGTGGCCACAACTGCAAGCATGAAATCTGTGCATGGGCTCAGGGACACGGAACATCCTTTGCCATGGCTGATCTGGATGTTGACAGTGCTGAGTGCCAACCTGCCAATGGCAGAAGCCAGTACTTTTCCCCTGGCACGATGCCATTTCTAGAGGGAGTAGCAGATAGCTTGCTACGTGGCAGAAGATTGGTTATATTAGGTCCTTTTCCATCTGGGGGAGGCAGTTTGTCCTTATGACAAAGGGCAGCTGTTCTGGCTGGCGGCTTGTTTTCACTACCTGCAATATTTTTCATCTCATCATCTGTGGACCTTGAGAATGTTTTATTTACAATCTCAGGGTCCTGAAAAACTGTAATCTGATCAGGGAGCTCTTACACACCAAGAGGAACCAGGCATTTTTCCACTTGAGTGTGGATTCCTGAAGCACCTTGTCATAACAACATATACGATAGAGCTCATCAGTACTTTCAAGCTCAGCTAGGTACCCAATCTCAGATTCCCTGGTACCACTCCTAGGACCCAGAGTTACACCAGTCAGCAGCCACTTGTGCCAGGTAGCGCACCTGGAATGGAAGGGACAAGTTCAGGTCCAGTGATACCTTGTAGCACTGTCCTGGACAATCTCCTAGCCCAAGATACTCGGAATGCCCTGTGAGCTCTCTGGGAATGTCCTCATTTATATAGTGGAGGTAGTCTTATTTCTCTGTCCTACCACATTCTGCTGACTGGGCAGGAGCTGCGTGTCTCTACTCCCACAGCTTTTAACATAGTTCTTTGGAACTGGGAGGACATTAGACTATAGCTTAAAAATATTTGGTAGGAAAGGGCTATGCCCCAAAAGGAGAACTGGTCCAATCAAGTGTCTTATTTGAGAATTTTAAAAGACAGCAGGTCATGGTGGTGGTGTTCTGGGACCTATAGTCCCAGCTCTTCTGGAAGTTGAGGCTGGAGGGTAGTTTGAGCCCAGAGGTTCAGGGCCAGCTTGGGCAACATAGCGAGTCTCTGGCTCAAAACAAGCAAACAAATGTAAAATAAAATATAAGGCTAGAAGCTTTTTGGATTTGGGAAAGTTTGGGGCCATGAATAAGTTGATGAGCAGCAGAGGTGACTTTACAGGTGAAAAAGAGTGGACAGAAGGGAAAACTGGGAGAGGGGGTGGGCGCCTCTGCCAGTGTGTGTCCCACCTACAGTAAGCATCTCGTCCACTCTATTTTCTCACTTGGATTCCTTGGAAGCCCTTGCGATTCCTTTATTTTTTTTTTATTTTAAAATAGAAACAAACAACAGCAGAAGCAGCAAAAACAAAATCCTTCCTTCCTTCAGACCAGAAGGTGCTGTGGGTTGTTTCCCACACATCCTCCCAAACACTTGTTAGAATCAGGGACCTCATGGTTCTGATTCAGAGTCTACCTGGTACTGTCAACCTGACCTCAGTTTCTTCAACTGTAAAATGAAAATAATTCCATGCAGTTGCCTTTTGGGGTCTGTCAATTTTGATGGACGACCTCCTAACTGTTCTTCAAGGTCTAGCTCAAGGGACCTGTCTGCAAATCTGAAGTCCGTAAGAATTACCTCCTTCTCAGCATCAGCAGACTGATGTTCTTTCTCATGTGGTCCTAACGTGGGCACCTACTTTTCTCTGCTACCAGGCCATGTTTTCCTTAAGCCAAGGCTGCTCCCACACCCTTTACCTCAGGGCAGGGTGGCAGGGGAGTTTCTTGAAAAGGGGCTGCTGAATATACACTTCTTAAATGAACAAAGTGTGCACTGTCCACTGGACCCACATTCTTTTAATAGCTAGCCCTTTTTCTTAAAAGTAAAACTCCAGAGCTGGGCTTGAAAGCACTCACCTGTAGTCCCAACTATCCAGGAGGCTGAAGGGAGCATCACTTGAGCTTGGTTAGACCAGCCCATGCAGCATAGCAAGACCCTGTATCAAAATCAATACAGAAGTGAAGTAAAATTCCAAAGAAGTAGGGCATCATCAGCTAAACATGAAAATAGATAAATGCAATGGAACTGATGGGCTTCAGTATGAGAGGAAGCAGAGGAGACAGGAGATACCAGAGGAAATTGATCTGACACAAACATTTCTGAAATGTGTCCCACATGATTCATTAGCAATTATAAAATTACTATTGTCTTTGACATTAATGTAATATGAGCAGTTTGAGTTTTCTTCAAATAAAATTTTAGTGGATGCAGAATGGGGTCTTAAAAAATAAAAAATGTGTCCTACTATACTTCTGTTAAGATAATGAAAAGAATTTAGGAAGAATAAGATGTTGTATAAGAAAGCAAGATCCTTCCAAAGGCAAAGATACATACACATGGTAAAAATAAGCTATAGAATATGGACCATATTTTGTTTGTTATTTCAACAAACTGGTCTAGAGCAAATCCATCTTCTGTTTTGGAAGATGAATTCATTTCAGGTAAATTAGAAACAACCTCTGGGTTCCCTGCTTTCTTGAAAGGCCCAAACTTAGATACCACCTGCCTGCTGAGTGATCTGTGATCCTGCTGTAGGGACATTCTCATGTGCCAGACAGCTGTCTGTCACTCAGACCTGAGCTACTTCTACCATGTTCTCCAGAGCCCACCCAAACAGAATCATAAGCATAAGCTACGCCAGCTTAAAATAAATATTTAAATTAGTTATAAGTTCCTAGTCAGCTGCATTAAGTGTTATTAAATTAGTATGCTTACTAACCTTGGGAAAGAAGTGATATTTCCAGGAGAAGACCTGCGTGAACAGAGAACTCCAAAGGCATGAATTAGTGGAGTTTGTAATTAATTTTTTTTTTAAATTTAAAAACTAACAAAGCAATAATGAAGACAAAATCAAAACAACACAAAAACAGTAAAAACTATACATGACCTCAAAACAAAATGATAGGAATCAACAACTATTGATTTGGTAGTGAGATCTCATTCCAAGTTTATAACTTTGAAATTAGCCTACATCAGAGTTCATGGTATATAAGTTGATTGCTGCTCAATAAAATCATTTCATTTACCATAGATACAAACCAGAACCACAACATTCCCTCCTTACAAAGAGGATCATGGTGACTAGAGATAAGACCCTTTTAGTGGAAGGTAGAGCCAAAGTGAATGCATCTTATTAAGGCCTTTCAAAGAGTGCATATTAGCTGAAGACGGATATAGTAACAAACTCAAATCAGCTTTCTAACAGTGGCCCAGGGCCTGGGTTCCTTTCCTCTCTGTCAAAGCCCTGTGTTCTCCTGGTGACTGCATTGAGTATGGCCAGAGGGTTTTAGTTGAAGGACAGTGAGGAGCTGAATGGGACAGATAGCAGACTGGGGTGGGGTGACAAAGCCCTGAGAAGAAAGAAGGATTTGTCTGGGGGACAGTGCTTAAAAACCCAGGGCTGCAGCAAAACCAGGCACAGGCTGGGAAAGAACCCAGAAGGTGAAGCAAGAAAGTGGCATGGCAAAGTTGGTTGGGGGAATAAACATGACCAGTTTCCAGGACACATAGCCCAAATAATTCTCAGAACCTTGTATGTGGACTCGTCCCAAGAACCATGATGTGTGGAATGAATAAAAGGAGACAAGATGCCGTGAAGCACTCACTATTGTGCCCTTGTACAGTAGCACACCCTGTGCCTTCAGGGCACACTTTTGTTTTATATTTTTATTTTGGTTTTAATTTTCCTTTTTTTTACTTGGCTCAAGTTCTCTGGAGCCAGTTTCTTCCTTACTCTTCACTTTTAATTTTTCTTACCTCAAATAAAAATGAAGCTTTTTCACCATTTTTGCTTGTTTCATTCAATTCTTTTTTCAAGACAGAAAAAATCTGGAAATCATCTAGATGCCAGCACCCAAAAACCTAGTAACAAAGGGACACAATGGAACTGATGGGCTTCAGTATGAGAGGAAGCAGAGGAGACAGGAGATACCAGAGGAAATTGATCTGCAGGACTCAGCTCATTCCTAGAATGAAGAGATGCCAGTGAGAGGTGTGTCTGCAGGTCCTGATCCATACCTGGAGGAGGAGGCTCCTGTGAGAGGTCTGTGTGCAGGACCCAGAACCCTTACCTATAAATAAGGCAGCCAGGAGCCAAGTTCCACTGTGGGAGGGGTGATATTCCTGATAGGTTAAGCAAACAGAGTTTCTGGGGCCAGACATAGCCAGTGATGAAAACTGGGTCCAAGGTGAAGCTCCCTTCAGGCTCTGCAGATGCCCAGATTGCCTGGGCCACAGAATGAGGCACAACATGGTTAGCTGGAGCATAGCTCTTATTTTAGTTAGGACATGAAAAGGAGAAAGAGCTGAGCCACAGGGAGGCAGCAAATTGTTCCCATGCCAGGGTTTCTGAAGGATGAGCACTGGCATTCTTAGCAAGGCCCCAGCTAAACAAATGGAGATTTCTGAGAGCCTGAGCAGTAGAGTGCTGGTTCTGGTTCTGCCACCCAATGGCCTTAACCCTATGCTTTCTCCCTGGTTTGTCTCATCCTCTCTGACAACTATGGCTCTAACCTTGACCTCTGTCTTTGAACTCAGGGAACTAGTTAGGGCTTGTAAGGATAGTCCTTACAAGCTGAGGGACAGTGAGGGGCTGAATGGGACGGATAGCAGACAAAAGTTTCATTTTTATTTGAGGACTGGCTTATCTGCTGTGCAGAAGCATGAAAATAGATAAATGCAAAGGAAATTTATTCCTTGCTGAGGCCCATTGGCTTGGGCCAGGACTCATGTCTGGGCATGCAGAGGGCCTCTATTCCATGTATCTTGGCCCAGGCTGAGCATGTCAGGTAAATATTTCCTTACTATTAAAGATATTAGTACCTAAAATAACCTAATAAAATTAAGGAAATCATTAATAAGCAGTGGATAAAGATATGTTTTAATTTTAGACATTTTGAGTGAATTAGATTAGCTTTCTTGTATTTCCTCTCCTCTCTTACTTTCCTGGGCTTTCTACTGTGAGATTTAAATTTTATTCTGAAACCATCAATTCTACCATAGAAATGTCTTGACTGTTTGTGTGTAGTCATCATTGTATGTGTTTTTATGTTTGGCTTTATCTCTTGGTAGGCTAGACTCCATTTTCAACCACCTTCTTAGAAGGTCATAAAGTCTGCTTTCTGTTACCAAGGACACCTTAGCAGGATATCGTCAATATAACTTACTGTAAAGTGAGCAAGCCAGGTCTCCACCATGAGTCACTTAATTCCCTGCAGAATGCTCCCTGCTTAGTGCACTGACAGCACTTACCCGAGGGCAGGGTGGTTATTGGGCATCCTCTTTGCCTTATCTCTCCTTCTCCTTCTTCTCCTTGCCACACTTGTCCATGCCAAGCTAGTTCCCACCTCACTGCATGGGTGAAACAAACGTAGGCACTATGCCTAGGCACATTCCACCTCCAAGTCTGTGATGAGACTGTGAGGACTCTGTGAGCCTATCTTAAGTTTTGAATCAAAGTGGACTGTTTGGTTCCTATAGGAACAGAAGGCTCATGGCTCAGGGGCCCTCTGAGGAAGTCTGGATTTGTGTCTTCTGGTCATGTATAGGTTCATTTCTTAGACAAGCATTTATGTGCCAAGTAGATCCTATCAAGCATCCCTCAAATTTGGCTTTGCCTGTGAAGTGAGCAAAGGGAGTCTTTTCCAAGAAGCTGTAGGTCAAGTTTCACCCACAGTCAGAGAGCAACTTTTAGACTTTCCCCTTGAGATACAGTCTGGGTTTATCTTTGGTGTCTGTTTCTCATGGATTATCTACTCATCTATCACTCTTCCCTCCTCCATCTATCACCTATTTATGGACACAGCACCGCTTTGGAAGGTAGATAGGGCACCATCCTTATGTGAGATTTCAATTTGAGAAAAAATGAAGTTGTCTTTTCAGAAGCTAGGATCTTGTGTCTGAAACTTTCAGTCCTTACTCCTTACCACCTGCGGCTTCAGCACGTTAAGAAAGACACTTGCTATTCTGAGGCTTTTGCCTGGTTTAGAGATAGACTTTTACTCCTTGTGCTTTTGTTTATGCCTTTCCTCACCTCCTCTTCTGTCAGCTTTATTACAGGAAAACCTGGTTTGCACCGTCCATTCAGACTTGGGGAGTATCCATTCATACCTCATTGCCCAGTTTCTCAAAAATCTGTACTCTGCCCAAGATGTCTCTTGTTATGGTTTGGGTTTTTTTTTTTTTTTGCAAGGAGAAACAATATTATACAGGACACATATTTTATAAGATTATTTATAATAGTCACCCAAAGAAAGATATACAAGAGAGTGCAGGAAATCTGTCCACACACAAAGACCAAGGAATCCAATTGAGGGTCTAGATCCCACGGAAATGTCCTGCGTAAGTCCAGCTGAAGACCTAGAACTTACAACAATGCCTCCCACAAGTCCAACTGGAGGCCTAGAGCCCATAACAATATCTCATGCGGGCCTATTTCACAGATCTGTGCTGGGAAGGCCCAAAGGTCAGTGGTGGAATCTAGAAAGTCTGTGCCAGCAGGATGAAGGATCTGAGCTAGCAGGCTGTGGGATCTACACTGGAGCCAGGAAGCGACGTGCAAAGTAAGAAGCAGAGCTCCCCTGAAAAGTACCACAGCCATCCTTAGCAACAGCGAGGTCCTGAGGTCCTCCAGTGGTGAAAGCAGCTGAATTCCCATCAGGAAAACCAATGCAGCAAACTTCTCCAGGAGAGTGGCAGTGTACCATCGTCCCCTCTGGAGCCAGAAAGTGATGCTCAAAGTGAGGACCAGAGCTCCCCCAAAGTGAACTGAAGCTATGCTCAGTGCCAACAAGGTACCGAGCTCCTTAGAGGATGAAAACAGCCAAGTTCATCAGGAAAGCCAGCATGACAAGTTCCTCCAACAGAACCAACAGCTCCTTGAATCTTCAATCAGCTCCCAACATCCTTTCTCAGCTCCCAACAGCCTAAATTCTTCCCCAGTTGTGCCTCTTATGTTGCTGGCAACAGTCCTCAGATGGGCCTCCCACACCCAGCACCACACTTACTCAGTTCAGCTGGATGGTATAAGTTGACCACCGAGTGGACCAGTCAATCCACTACACTTCTGAACTGTAGGTGCTGGGGCCAGGGCCATGTTCCCAACGTCACCTTCATGCCAATTCCCAGCTGTGGCCAGGTGTTCTTTTCTCTGTGTCCCCGGATGGGAGTTCTTATCTCTGCAAGGCAGAGTAGCTGAAGTCTCTCCTCTTTGGTCACTCCTTCCAGGGTTACTTTAAAGACATTTAAAACCCACACCCCTCTTTGAGCAGCTCCTTGTAGTTGAGCCACCATCCTCATCCTCCTGCTGTTCTCTTTCAAGAGCTTCCACCCTGCTCTGTTCCCTTATAGTTTATGAAGAAACTTCCCAAGTAAAGCAAGTGGTCTGTGGAGGAATTCCACAACTGTTTGGATTGTGCAGTATTTTCTTTCCTTACATTAGCAGCTGCTACACTGTAGAGTGATCATCAGTTTGTGTATCATATTCTAAACTGAGCTGGACCCACACTGAAGGCAGAGATCTCATCTTTGGATCTATAAATCCTGGCATCTGGAGGGGGACCTGTACATCATGCTCAATGAATCCAGCTGCTGCAGGAGTGAACAACTGACCAGAAGAGAGGCATGAAGCAAGCCCATCGGGCAGCATGAGAGTCTCACCAGGCAGGTGACAATGGGGCCGTCTGTAGGGAGAATGTATAGTGTTGCATAGCAACATCCCTCCCCTGTCCTGTCACTCCAAATAGATGGAATCACACAATTCTTATGGCAAAGGTCCCTTTTGACCTATTTCAGCTAAAAATACATAACATCTTTCCTTTTGTCTCAGTTTAGAATATATAATATTTCAAGAGTCCACATGAGTAAAATACTGAGGATCCCAAATATTCACAGCCTGAGAATCTACTTTGTCAGAAGGTTAACTGTGAGTCAGAGAAACACTGGGAAGATGTCCCAGAGCTCACAGCCGCCTTCTCTTCCTTGAAGGGACACATGTAGTCAGCTGGGGCAAAAATGTCACTGTGCTGGAGTGCTGCCCACACTCTTTTGCAGGCTTTGAGGGCTCACATGGCATGGGTGGGCATCACAGAACCCAGCTGGCTGTCAATAACAGAAGTGCTTGCTGGTTCTGTGCTTGGTGTTCCTCTAACTGGTTTAGTCCCGGAAGAACATTCAGTTTTATTGTTGACCTATAATCCGGAAAACCTTTATATAAATACAAGCTCTTTGAAACATTTCCGTGGGAAAACCTGCCCATGAGTCAGACAGTCACACAGAAAGGAGGCTCCTCACACTCACCCTTGGATGCCAGGAACCAGGCAGGGGAGTGGCCTTGTTCCTTGCAGCCCTTTGCAGTGGCTGTGTTCTACAAAGTTGCCTTACACACTGAAGCAGTGAGTTAAGAACCCTGGCTCCTGGTGGAAACATGAAGTCAGGACTCAATCTTCTGGTCACAGCATTTTCAATAAATATATAACTTTATTTTATGTGGATTTCTGTTTAAAGCCATCTTTAAACCTGGCACAGGCCCAGAACTTAGGCTGTGATGATGAACAACACAGACTGAGCCCTGCTTTGTAGAGTTCATATTTGGGAGGATAGGAGGTATTTTTACCTCCCACTGGAGACTCAAATATGCCCTAACCCTGCCCTAGTGGAGGTAGAGGGCTACCTACTCTCCTGTCTCAGCTGTAGGTTCTTTCTCAAAGCTGCTGCTGCCTTGCTCAATTCCTGTGCCTCCCTCCAGTGGCTCCTATCCTGTTTTGTGACCTGTACACTGAAGCAAGGTGCCTTGGGCCAGAAGCTCCTTGCACAGAGTCTTCAGCATTGGAAGTCAGGGCGCAGTGATTCTGCTGGAATTTGATGAAGACCTCAAAGTGGGTGTCATGCCAGTGCAGAGACAGAGCTGGGATGTGTCTGAGAGAAGGTCTACACCTGGGTAGATCTTTCACCTTGTCTTGGTGGCTCAAGATGGGCATTCCTAGTTGTACCATGGCTTACCCAGGTACATGATCTCCCCTTTTAACTCAAAAGGTGATGGGCATGCATGGCAGTCACACCCGGAAGGCAGACTGGTTGTGCCCACTGCCTTTGTGGAACCAAAGTGCTAGTTCTAGAGATCCCAATAGACCAAACCTGACCACCTGCTCCATCATGTCAATCAAGGAGACAGCAGTAGAGAAAGGCAGCAAAGGGCTTTAATTAGATATGGCCACCTGGGAAGATAGAAAAAGAAATTCAAGTTCTGCCTCCTGGGGCTGTCAGAAATCTTGGCATTTTATAGAAAAGGGGACCAAAGGCAAAGGTTGGAGCTTTGCATAATCAGGAGAGAGTTTGTTACATAGACAGCAGCACAGGGAATCCCAGTCAGGATGTCTGGTTCACTGTATCTCAGGACTGGCTCTGTGAGATCCTAGGAGAACCATCACGTGTCACTTGAAACCAAAGTTCAGTTCTTATCATGAGTGACTGCTCCTGCATTGGAAGCAGCCTCTGCTGCTGTCAAGGGGGGCTGACTTCATCATGAGGTGGCCTGTGAGCCTCTGCTACTGCACTTTTGGAATAATGACTCAAGACTTCCAGGCATTGTTCCAGGGGAACCTGGAAGTGAGTATTGTAAGTCTGGAAATTGTGTATTCTGGAAAATCCTGAAAGTTAATTTAGTTACACATATCTTGGTAGCCTCAGTCTTGGAGGGGACTGAAACAAGCTAGGTAAATTTAGGGCTAATAAACCTTGTTCTAGGGACACTCTCAGAGTGATTAATAGCCTATGCGCAGAGCTTGACAGGGGTCTGACCCAAGTTTTGAGGTAATGAGGTAGACACATAAAATTCTGGCAGAGATGCCAAGGTTTATCTCACTTCTAGTTATCCACAGGGCTCTGCAGGTTCAGCCTCTAAATCACATTACACATCTACTTTTCATCCACCTACTGTACCCTCACCCAAGACAACAGTTTAAGACTGCTTGTTCTTATTTTTAAACATTATCTTTATCAGATCACAATGAAGGAAATGCCATTAAAAACTTCTAGATCAGTTTTCTTCTCTGAATTGACATCTCCAGGGTGACAACCTGTATGGAGGGGAGGTAGGGAAGAAAGGTGTCCTCCACTATACCTTGTAGGGTGAGAGTGCACTGAACACACTTTTAACACACACCCCTTTGACTCAGCAATTTCTTGGTAAGAATCTGCCATGCAGCACAATGGAAAATATTTGTAGAGAAATATTTACTGCAGTAAAAAAAAAAAGCCAGAAAACATAAACCTAAGTAATTATCTTTCAATAGGTGAATGGGGAAATAGATCTGGTTCCTTTTAAGATCAATTCCAATGGCCACTAACAGAATGAGCTATATGTAAGATTCCCTAGATGCACCTCTTCACTTCTTCACATGTTGTTAGTGACTCATCCACAGCCATCCTGATCACCATGCCCAGGCACCATGGGAGGCAGAGGAGAAAGGAGGGGCCTTTCTCAGAGTCTGGAGAATCTCCACTGCAATGAGTAGACAGCTACAGTCAAGAATGGCCCCTGTTCGGTTCCCAGTACCGGAGAAAAACCAAAAAAAAAAAAAAAAAAAAAAGAATGGCCCCTGGAGAGGCCAGCAGGACAGAAGTAGAGGGTGGAGGGAAGGACCCAAGACACTACCATCCAGTTGGATGAAAACTGATGATAGCTTTGAATAATGACTAGGAGTTGTTGGGGATCTTGGCAAGGGCTGTGCCCTGGGGATAGAAGCATAATGGGAGGGGTTGAGCAAAAGAATAAGAGAAGAGGAGATAGACCAGGATATAGAAAAAACATACCTTCAGAGACAAGGAGGAAAATGAGGTATGGTGGGTTTGAGTGAAGGGAGAGATTCAGTTTTCTTAAATGAGAGAGACTTGCATGTGTGAAAACCAAGGCGAGGAATGTGTATGTGTGTTTGTGTATATATGTGTGTGTGTGTGTAAAAATGTGTAAATTATTCATATGTTGGTAAAGACACAAAACTTCTGGAAAGACATGTAAGAAATGACTAATGGCGGTTACCTTTGGAAAGAGGCATGGATTTTACTTTCTGCTTTCTAGTTCACAACTTCCTCTCTCTTCCAAAATTCCTAATTTTCAGGGTAATTAAAGAGCTAAGCATACAGAGGAAAACAGGCCTAATGAAAGAATCTAAGGAATCCAGCTAAAGGGAAAGTTGCCACCAAGTTCCAGCCCATCTTACCTTTCAGGGGATTACCTGGAGCTTCCATCCATCTAGGTTGCAAATACAGGGAGGCATTTCAGGAGCATGAGGCCCCTTGCTTCTTGCTGGGAAACAGGTGTGGGTAACTGTGCTGTGGCCAGGAAGGCAGAGTTATTCTCACCTTATGGCAGATTTCATAGGTGGGCAAGATTAGGAAGGGAGAGTACATCATTTAGCCCTTCAGATAGTGTGGAGTGGGGATATAATAGGGCTGAGAGGACACAGTAGAATAGTATGAAGCTGCACCTGAAGAACCACAGCTTGTTAGAGAATGAAGACTGAAGCATACTATGAGGTCGTGAAGTAATCCAGAGTGAAGCTGTGTAATGAGAACAATCTAAGTGAGTTTGAGGGGGCTGGAGGAGAAGGCTCAGGAGAAGGCAGGATTCAGGACTTGGCCAGGTGGGGGCAGGTACTGGAGCAAGCTGACCCAGATCAGAGCCTGCAGGACTAGGATGGTGCAGACAGCTGAGGGTGGCAAGTGGACAAGATGGTCAGGGCATGTGGCCAGGCTGTGGAAGGCCTTGACAGTCCAGAAAATCTGGAGAAGCGGAGCACGCAAACACTGGCCTACCAGTCCTGCGTCACATGGGCGGTTTTGTAGCATTTATAATGCTGCGGGGGCAACTCCCTCTCTCCACCCAACTCTGTCATGAGTCATAGGCTAGCTGCCAGCTCCAGCTGACTGGACACAGAATAAGGGTTGTTTCCAGAGTACTGGCCAAGTACTGTGCTCCCGCAGGCCTGCAGCCTAGGCACTTTGGGCGGTGGCAGTTCTCACAACAGTGCTGGCACAGAGCAGGGAACACATCATTTCCCAGGCAGAACCCTACTGACTCCTTCCCTAAGCACTTGGAGCACGTCTCTAGGCAGGGCACCCTGCCTGGCTCCAAGGCTCCCTCTGCCACTTCCCGCTATCCTTGCTGGCTGTGGCTGCTAATGATTACTTACAGTCTCCACGTTCAATGGCAGTGATTTCGCATTCTTTTGTGTCTCCCAGGGACTAAGAACAGGGCAAGGTCCAAAGGGCATCTGGATTCAGAAACACTTTTAGCTCTCTCTAAATGTCATTAGACACAAAACACTAGATGTGTTCTTAATATATTACTATTATTATTGTGTTATTATTATTATTATTATTGTTATTATTATTATTAAGCAGTGTTGGGACTGAATCCAGTACCTCTTGCACACTAAATATTTTTCTTTAAGGATAGGTAAATATATACATGAACAAACTTTTAAAGGTACAAAAGAGAAAGATAAGTTTTCCTCTTTGGCTCTATTTGATCTAATGAGTTCCAGTGCAGTCACACTTTGGTTTCTTGGCATCCCATGGGGAATATTCTGTTTATGAACATTTGTGAGTATGTAGATATTTATGAGTATATACATATGCACAGGTAATTATTATATATATAAACTCATAAATGATAATATACTCTTTATTGTGCATGTTGCTTTTGTCATATTATATATTTTCCATGTCAGGGCACATGGCCCTCTGTCCTTTTTAATAACTTCATACCATTCCATAGTAAAGTCATACATGAGGTCTATTTAACCAGGTTATCAATGATGAACACATAAGACAGTGTTGCAGTGAAGTTGCTTTCTATGTATGCTTAATATAAATACATGGTTTCACACTCAGATCATCTATTGTAAGATGATCACTGAAGAATAGAATTCTTTGGTCTAAGGGTATATATTTCAAATATTGCAAATATTACCAAATTAGCTTTGTGAAGGTTGTACCAATTTATATACCTGGAAGCAATAGATGAGGTGTCACATTTCCTACTCCTTCAGAAACCTACAAAAATTTTTTTTTTTTATCTTGGGGCAAAAAATATTTACTAAGCACTCATTCTGTGCATGGCACTCTACTTAGTGCTGGGAATGTGGAGGAGGCTGAAGCAGGGAGCTGCACTCACCCCCACTGGGGCCTGTCAGGGTTGCTCCTGGTGGACAGAATAGCCCTCTAGTTTAGCAAGCACACATAAGCCAGCGAGGCTTGCAGAGCACTTGTGCGTTTGGGCTGGTTGTGTGGTTGTGATTCTGGCTTACTTTTGAACTGCAGTTGGTTTGTGGGAAGGGTGACTTTAGGGTCACCAGAGAGAAGGTGGTGGTTCAGAGATCAGGACAGGGACATGGAGTGAGGGTAGTGGGAGGCTGGCTGAGGACTACTGGAGCCCTCGGGTGCTGGACAGAGGGAAAGAATGCAGGGAGAAACAGTTTTTTGGGAAGAAAGTAAAACCAAAATTTAAATCATGAGGGAAAATTTAAGGATTTGAAATGCTCACAAAAGTTTACAGAAAAGTCATTTATAAGAGGAATTTATAAGTTTCAAGAGAAATTTTTTTTTGGTACTGGGAATGGAACTCAGGACCTTGTGCTTGCCAAGCCAGCGCTGCACTGCTGAGCTATATCCCCAGCCCTAAGTTTCAAATTTTAACAGTACCTTGTCTTGGTGCATGGAACCTTCACACCTCATTACCTATTATTATTTTTAGATGATTTTGTCACGTTGCTCAGACGCTTGGTGCTTGGAAATCCGTATCATTGGGATCACTGGCAGTGCTGAGGGGACCTGGAGTAGGACTAGAGAGAGCCCTGGGGTCTGTGTGGAGCAAACTATGGCTTGAGCAGTGAACACGGAACAGCTGGGAAGGTGGCCTTGCCAGGTGGAACCGGAACATCAGGAACTTTTTCCGAATCTAACCAGCAAGACCAGGATTTGAAAGGTAAACAAATTTATGTACATTTGTCACATCTACAGTGGGTTTAAATGGAAGTACCGAACCAGCTGCTTGAGTACACCTGGAGCTATTCCCCTTCTAGGTATTGTCCCAAAAGAGTTAAGATATCATGTTACATGACCCATGCATACCTATGTTTATAGCAGTACAATTTATAATAGCTAAATCTTGGAAGCAACCTATATGTCCATCAACAGAGGAATGGATAAAGGAAGTATAGTATTCCCACACAACGAGATACTTCTCTGCCACACAGAAAGACAAACTTGAGTCATTTGTAGGAAAATGGATGCATCCTGAAATTATAATGTTAAGTGAAGCAAATTAGACACACAGTCTTAAATATTGCTCATTTTTTCTTATATATGTATATATGTGTATATATATATGTGTATATATATATATGTAAAGTAATAGAGTAAAAATAAAGAGCAAAATAAAAGATAAATGATAGGAAATAGGGAGACCCCCTTCTCAAATTGGAAGAGGGCCAAGAGATGGAGGGAGTGGGAGGAAGGTCTTATAGCTTGTATCTAGATGTTCCCCCAAAGCCAATTAAGTGGAGCTTTTTGGAGGTGGCTGGATCTAGGTTGCCTGACTGTGGATTAAGGATGTGTGGTAACTAAATTGGTTTAGTATCATTCTGGATGTGGATAATGGAAGCCCCACCTTGGGTATGGGTGGGACCAATTACTAGGCTTGTTGCCTAGATGGGATAAAAGTAACAACTCCACACAAGGAATGTAAGTAAGCATTATGTACTGCAAACATATACTAATAAAAAATTTTTAAAACCAGAAAAAATATACCTGTGCAAATAAATAATGCTCATAGTCCCATAAAGGTGTTATAAAAGATATTGTCCTTTAAGTGTACCCTCCTTTTCTACATAGAGAGCTTGATGTAAGATTTCTTTTCTCAACTGAAAGTACTTATCTGTATGTGGTCATGCACTCTCACACACTGAGGCCCACCAGAAACACCCTGGACTTTGTGCATTTGGTTGTCACTAATTCAGCTATACATTTGCTTCTACAAGGACCTGAGAGTACTGATCTTATATGGGGCTATAATTCAGTGCTATCATTATAGGTTTTGTTGCTCATGTTGTCCCAGCTTTGGTCCCTTTGCCTTTCAACAGTCCCCCACCTTTTTGGGGCACATTAACTTGATTTTTTGGCACATGAAGATGTTTATTCCCATCATGTATTTTCCCTGTGCTTGTTCTTAGAATTTGACCTTCTACAAGGAGTTGCTGGGCCTTCTCTGCTGACAGGACAAGAACATCTGAATGCCTAGTAACCTGAGCACACATGTTCTGTCTGCATGTGATTCCTAAAACACTACAGCCTGTTGTTGACACCTTTGACACCAGTCCTGCATTGCAGGTTGACACAGACCTTGTTTGTAAGGGCTTCCTCCCGCAGTAAGAAACCTGATCATTTATTCAGCCCTAGTGTATGTCCAAAGTAATTTCAGAGTCCTTAGTCCTTGCTCCTAGGAAAAAATTCACCATTGACACCAAGACATTAGTGTGCAGGGGATTTTATTTTGAGCATTGGGATTGAAACCAGGACCACAAGTATGTTAGGTAAGATTTTGACTGTGTAGCTAAATCTTTAAGGATAATCCAAATGAACTGGAAAACATGGGAAAAGTGAGTTGGGGCGGGAGAGAGGAGGTGGTCGGAGGGAAATAAAACACAGTGTTGTTTGTTTGAACCAAAAGTGCTCTGCTGGGAACAACTCTGAATCTGTGCCATGACAGAGTGTAGGGTCCCTCCAGCATTGCAGAGCTGCATGTTTCTTGTGGCAGAAAGTTCTTCCTGAGCCCACAGTGTCCTGTAGGTTAGGTGGTCATAATGGAGCCCAGTCCTTGGCAGTCTGTTTCGGAGACAACAGGCAACTGCTGTGTAGCCTTTGTGCCTTGTTCCTGTGAGATGACTTGACCTTCTGATGGCTTTGAGCTGTGAAGTCCTGTCTTTCCTTTTTTCCAGGCACAGTACCCTCTGCCCATTCCCTGGCTCCCACCCTCTTCTGAGCTACAGATAGAGCCACGGGGACTTCCACTCTCTTTTGAAGAATAAATGTGAAATCGTGCCCACCCTCAGCACTGTCTCATCCCCTTTCCTGGCTGACATTCTACAGGCATCTTCCACCGCCTCTACCTGTGGTAGGCAGTCAGGGAGCCTCACACTGGAGACGGGTGTTCCAAAAGCTGCAGGACAGGAGCATCAGGAGGTCCCAGGCCTCCGAGATGAGCCCTCCAACCTAAGCTCTCGGATCTTTTCTTAAATGTACTTAGGAAAAGACACAACAGCAGAATGCAAGTTAAACCAGTGCCTTCATCTTGCTTGCTAGCATCAGGGAAACCGGGCACGGAGGAGCAGAAGGTCTGCGGGAAACACTTCCTGAGACATTTTTAATGAGCTTTTTTTAGTATCTGCTTCTCGCTAACAGTGACAAAATCCAGCCTCTCTTTGACCTCCACAAAATCACTTTTCCCCCTCCTCCATTCTGGTTCAATATACTCTAAAATTTCTTCTGCCAAGTACTCTTTTTCTCCTGTCTTCCCTGTCTGCTGAATTTCTAGTGCAGCACTTAAAAGGAAATTTCATCCATACAGGTTAGATTATGTATACTTAATTCACGTACACTGCTCTTTTGTGAACTTTCTCCTCTGCAAGTATCTTTGAACAAAAATGATATGTTTTCCCAAGAAAGAGTGATAAATAAACTCCAAGAATGAATGTCTGTGCTCTCTTTCTCATCTAAAACGTCACTCACTTTAGCGAGCATTTATGACATGTCCTGATGGGTCAAGTTCAGATGTGGCAGGGACCAGAGGCAGGCAGGTAAGGCCTGCCGAACCCCTATTCATCAGCAGTCGGCAGCCCAGTGAGGGAAACTGAAAGAGAACGTGGACTTGTGGTGTGGCTGTGTGGTGGCTGGAGGTATAAAACCCTGCATTTTATTCTTAGCATCACCAGAAAAAGGTAACAAAGAGAGTACCTATTTATTGTTTTATTTATTTGTTTATTTATTTATTTATTTTTGATGCTAAGGATGGATCCCAAGACCTCATACGTACTAGGCAAACACTCTGCAGTTGAGATACACCTTAGCCCAAGGATGGAACTGTTACTCGTTAACTCTTTAGCATGTTCCTAACATCTGTGGCAAAGGCAGCTTTCAGAGCCCTGGAGACTAACTGGCACAAGGTCCCACCCAGGTGACAAGCCTGTCCTGCCTACTATCTGTAAATCCTGCCTGGGGCTGTGAGGGAGGAGTTTTCCTTCTGGCCTCTCAGTGATCTCAGCCTGGGCCTGCCTGGTGATTACTCCTCCTCAGCCTCATCTGGTTTGCTCTCTGCTCACTTGCAGACCAGGTGCACACGGCTCACCTTGAGCCCCAGAGCCACCAGCTCTGGCTCAAAGCAAGGTCTTTAGGATGACAGCAAAGGCTCCAGCTCCTTCCCAGTGCTGTGGAACTCTGGCTAAAACTATACTGGAATGATGGGAAGTGTTTAGAACAGCCCTCCACAGAAGCCTAGCAAGAAAAATGCACTTAGGTTCAAGTAATGACAAGCTACAGTAAGCTGTGGATTATTAAACAGAAAGTTCCCTTAACAATTTTCTAGTGGACACTGTATAACTCTGGTGGTTTCAGTCCAAACATGGGCTCAGTGGGGAGCCCCCAAACACAGTGATCAATCAGTGCTGAGCTGAGCCGAGCTGTTCCTGAGGGACAGGCCCTGGCAGGCTGGTCTCCCCTCACACAGGCACTGTCAGAACGCTGCTCTGAGCTGGATCCAACATGGCACAGATGACTTGGCACTTGGCTGAGGCTGCTTGGCCTCACAGGCCAGTCTAGGTCTACTTCTGATTTCAGAGAGTGCTTTGCAAACTCTGCTGGCTCCTGGAAATGGGACTTAGTGCTGCCTCCGGGGATCTCTCCGGGCCGAGGCTCTGCCTTTCCTCCTCCTTTCTTTGATCCCCAAGAGAAGTAAGGGCAAAGACAGAGGGGGAGAAGTAGTTGAAGGAAAATCAACAATAGAATGGGAGCCCTTGTGGGGGCCCTGATATACACAGCCCTACTTCTACCCCTAACTAAGCATCCTGGACAGTGTGTGATGTTTTTAATTTCTGTCTATCAAATTCAAATCTGCCTCCTGCATGTGTGAGGTATTAGTGTTCTAGATTAGGTGTGGATCCAATATGACAACAGAAGGAACTAGACACACAAAGTCACACGTCCTATGGCTCAATTTCTAAGAACCATTAGATGGATGAACGTCTTTAGAGATAGAAAGTAGATGCTTCAAACTGATCACTGTTCTTGAAATGTGTGCTTCTTGGCCTGCATGGGATTCACAGAAAAAGAGGCTGGAAAGATAAGTGGGGACAAAAGGACAAAATCTTCCAGGGAAGGCCTAGCAGGACCCAAGCAGGGAAAGACTTGAGCAGGAACGAGGCATGATCAAGAGCTGGGAATAAGAAAATTATAAATGTGGCATAAATATAACTAGGGAACTGCAACTCCAATTCCTACAGGTATCTAGGGGTGGGAATTTTATTCTACATTGCTCTCCTATGCCTCATATTTTTATACCACATGGGTGAAGTTTTTGATGTACACCTCATGATAGGTGCTTTTTTTTTGGTCTTTTTGAGACAGGGTCTCGCTATACAGTTCAGGCTGGCCTTGAGCTCACTTTGTAGCCCAGGCTGGTCTCGAACTCACAACAATCCTCCTGCCTCAGCCTCCTGAGTTCTGGGATTGCAGGCGTTACAGGTGTGCACCACCATGCCCAGCTGATAGGTAGTTCTTGAACATTACAGGTTAGCAATGCATGGAATATACCTGTCCCGTTGTGTGCTGCAGCTTGGTGACTTGGTAGTCTGTCATGTCAGCAGTTCCCTTCCTGACCACAGTGCCTGACAGAAGCTGGGCCTCTGCTGAGAGATGGCCTTACTGCCTGACACTGGAGAGCAGAGCCAAGATCAACACTCCTGCGGGCTTTCTACAGAGCATGGATTGCAGGCACATTGGCTGAAAGGCAAAAAATCTTAAGTCATGGGGGACTGTCTATGCTATCCTTGGAAGGCATACTGTTTGCTTTTATGTTTAAAATATACATTTAAAATTATTAGAAATGTTTTATATGTACTGGGCCTTGCCCTCAGACAGTTTACACCCGGTTTAGAGACAAGACTGGAATAGGTGAAATAATGACACAAGATTCTGTGCATGTTAGAGTTCTGAGGTGCACTGAGGAGAGAGAGGGACGTCATGGGGTATGGGAAAACCAAAGCACCACATAGGGCACCCCAGAAGCTGAGACTGCAGGAACTGACAGGGAGCACTGTCATTCTTCAGCAAGAAGCTGTGGGTCTCCTTATTGTCTGCCAAGTAACCCCAGTGTGTCCTCCTCCACCTGCTGGAACTTGGATTTGAAGGAAGTGAGGCAGGAAGCTGCTCTGCCGAGCTCAGTCCTAATAATCTAAACAAACTCTGCATGACTCTCCCCCCTTGTCTGTGATTGGTGCACAGACATCCATTTAAGCAAATCAGGGTATGATATTTCTCCTATAACTGGAGGGCAAGGGATCACAGCTGGTCCAGAAGCACCAGGGATGTGTTCCAGAGTGGGAAGCTTGGATGTTTGAATACTAACCCAAATCCTAATTCTAACCCTACCCCTAATCCTGCTGGTTACTGTGGCAGTGAGGGAGGGCACTCCAAGGACAAGGCCACATGGCTTTGGGCAGAGATAAGCACTATGGACAGATGATGAGGATCATGTCTGATCCAAAAATGAACCCATGTCCTTATTGTTAAAGCCCAAACAGCTTTTATTACATGCAGTTGAGAACATCCTGAGGGATAGACAACTACACCTAGTTGGTGTGCTCTTTTTAGAAAAAAGCCAAGCGCTGTTTCTAAGAATTCAGTCAGCTTGCTCTGATGTGTCTGTCTTCATAGATGGAGTAAGAAGAAAAATGGAGTAGAAGAAAGGATATAATGCAATGAATGGTACCTGGTACCTAGGATGAATACATAAGAAGAATGGAGACTTTGGTGAGTCTGGGTTGTAGGTTTTGGGCAAATTCTTTGATGGCCTTCCAGGGCTCCTCAGCTTGGAGGACCAAAGTGTGCAGACAAAGACTCATGGGGAGACACAGAAATGCTGGGTGCAGGTGTCCTGAGGTTTGCTTCTTCTGACTGTCCCAGAGTTTAGCCCAGAGAGAAGACTCTGTTATATGATGGCTATGATAGGTGGGAAATGCTTAATAGAGGAATCTAAATTTGAACTAGCTGTTAAAGTTTTTCACTGATGACCATTTAAAATAGAAACACTAATTTGAAAAGCAAAATCTTAAAATGTAAGTAGTTCTAGTTAAAAGTTAAACAACATAATTGCTTTTGTTGTTTTTTAGTTTTTTTCTGCTATGGCTCAAGGCTGTTAACAGGTAAGGGGCCTCCTTCCATGTTTATCAGTGAAATCTCTGTTTAGTGGACAGAAGCCTAAAAAGCCGAAATCAATCTTTGTCCTAAAATAAGTAATTTTTATGTATATCATGGATATTTTGATATTGTATTTGAGACTCTAGGTCCTGTTTAACCCTTTGTGTTTTAAGCCATGTCCCAAACAGCTCTCAATGTTCCCTAGGTGAGGATGGTGAGAGGATGGAGAAAAAAGAACAAGAGTCAGCATACGAAAACTGAGGCTGTATGGAGCCCTCTCTCCTGATGGGAAGTAAGGAAGGAGGAAGGAGGAAGAGGAGAAGAAGGAGTGAGAGCTCCAGTGGCTGCAGCAAGCTTATTTATACACTTAGGAAATTGAATGTCATGTGAAACCCCTCCACATAATAGCTTATCCACATGGCTGTCTCAGGAGCCCAGTGTTCTTGAGACTAGAGCAGCTTATTCATGCAACTTGCCTCAGGTGCTGTGTTATTGAGGCTGACCTTGCTCTGGCCCTGCACATGATCAATCTCCAGCGTCATCTGCTTCCTGCAGTTTTCAACAGTAATCCCTAGTTGAGAAGGAGCACAAGAGCTTGATGGATGGAGCACCCTGAGCACAACCATCTCAGGGTGTTGTGGTGGCTGGCTGATTCCAGTCTTTGCTCCAATGGACCCAGAGGGAACACTGGAGTATTGTGGTCTCCTCTAGGGACAATAAGAGTGAAGATCAATATTTTTGCTTCAGCCACCACCTTTGTGCTCAGCCTTTTTGGTACCACCTGGCAAGGGAATCTGCCACCTGCTTCTATGGTGGAGGGATGGGTGGAAGACCAGCTTCTGACTCAATCCTGTTGAAACTGTCAGGAGAGGATTACAGATTTTGCTTGGAATATACTGGATATTGCCAAGAACATTCTCTGTTGTAACCCACACTTTCCCAGAACTGTACAGCAAACTTACTTTTTATTTATTACTTACTATTATTGTTTTTAAAATGTGAGTCTTGTAAATCTATACATTGAAACACAAAGCTCCTGATTATGTCACACTGAGTCATGCTTTTGCCAGTTTGGAATATAGTTTGCAAAACTGAAAATGATTATGGAGTAGAATAGTGAAGATGTGATGAATATTTAGTCAGTTTTATTTGGATATAATTTATATCCAATCAATCTTTTTTTGTGTGTGCGTTACTGGGAATCGAAATTAGGGCCTCACGCTTGCCAGGCAGGCACTGCACCACTGAGCTAAATCCCCAGCCCCTCTATCCAGTCAGTCTTATCTCTGTTAAGTGTGTAATTCAGTGAGTTTTAGCAGACACATGCAACTGGGTAACTATAACAATAAAACACAGAAACTTTGCCTCAGCCCAGAGCCTCCCTGCTGTGCCTCGACCTTGGTGCCTCTCCCTGTCCACAGCACTAGCAGCCAGGTTTCCATGTCTGTCACTGGAGCTGGTGCTGAATCATGCACAGATGGCAGTCTCTGCCTGACCATGGCTGTACTTGAGCTGCTTTGACTTTTGGATGGTGTGAGAGTGATATACATTCAGCAGAGACCATAGTTTGGATTTTGGTCTTTTCCCATGGGCTGATACGGGATTCTGTGTAGCAGTGAGCCACAGCTCCTGTTAGTGCACCAGTCTTGAGGGAAGAAGTTGAGACCTACAGTGGGCTGTGTTGCTGAGCTCTCAGGTGCAGTAAGCTGAGTGTAGGAAAAGCAGTTTGATTTGCAACATTTTCAGCTTACCCAGGTTTATTGGGTTGTAACCCATGGCAAGTTAAGAAGTAGCTGTACATACACAGTTACACAGCATGTAGTCTTCTTGACCCTAGACCTTTACTAAACTTTATATCTTTGAGATTCATTTGTATTGTTCATTTATTCATAGTTTATTTCTTTTTATGGTTTGCATACTTGTACCTTAATTTATTTATATACCAGCTGATTTGGGTTGTTTCCAATTTTTTTGCTATTTTGAATAAAGCTACTATAAACATTTCTATAAATGTGTTTGTGTGTGGTGGAGTATGTTTTAATTTTTCCCAGGTAAGAATATAAGTATGAGATTGTTGAGATTATTGTAAATACATATTTAATTTTATAATAAACTGCTTCCAAATTAGTTGCACCATCTTATGATGATAGCTCTTGATGCTTAAAATCCTTTTTTTTTTCCCTCCGGTACCGGGAACTGAACTCACGACCTTGCGCTTGCCAGGCAAGCGCTTTGCCGCTGAGCTAAATCCCCAGCCCCGATGCTTAAAATCCTTGTCAAAATTTGATATTGTGCATCTTTGGAATTTTAACTATTCTTGTGGGATAGGGTGATATCTTGTCGTGGTTTTGAATTGTTAATGTGTATATTTTAATATATTTGTCATGTCTTTATCATCTTTGGTCAAGTATCTGCTCAGATATTTCACCTACTTTTTAGAGTTGCTAGTTTTCTTATTTTACAAATATTTTCTCTGGTTTTATTTTCTATTTTCAACCTCCCCTGCATTCTCTCCTACTTCCTTGTCTCTCCTCTTTATGGTGTAAAGATTGAATCCAGAGATGCTCTACCCCTGAGCTATATCCCCAGATCTTTTCATTTTTTATTTTAAAACAAATTCTCACTAAGTTGCCCAGGTTGGTCTCAAATTTGCAATCCTCCTGCCTCAGCTTTTCCAGTACCTGGGATTATAGATGTGTGCTAGTGCACCTGGATGTACAATTTTCATATTTATTTTATTAACCTTTTGCAGAAAAAAAAATGTTAGATTTTTGGCAATAGCTTTATTAAAATAAAACTTACATACCATACACTTTTATTATTTCAAGGTCAAAGTGAGATAGGGTGGAACACTTGCATAGCATGTTCAGGACTCTGGGTTTGATGCTTAGCATCACATATACACACACAAAGTTAAAAGTTGTAATTGTTATGATGCTCTGTTTATGACTTTTATATGGTTTTTGCTTTGTATCCATTCTACAAATCTGTACAACACAAGGCCATAAAGGTTTTCACCCACATTTTCTTCAGAAGTTTCCTAGATTTAGCCCTTCTATCTAGATCTATGATCTACATTAATCTGGGGGCATTCAAAATTTATTTCCAACAGATAGACAGCATCAGGAAGTGTAGCTACAAGGGTTTCTCTGTAGATCATCCATTCACAGGGTGTTCTTAGCCCAAGGGTGAGAAAGCTAGTCATGTATCTCTGTACAACATCCACTTCACAATGTAAAAGGGTATTATTATTGTGGCCTCAATATTATTGTGGCCTTCCAGTTCCAGAAGGAAAGGCACAACTTGGCAAAAAAACTTTTTTGGATCCTAAAGTCAGGTGCAGTAACTAAAAGACAAAACTTAGAGTAAGAGTCTTGATCCACATTTTAAATAAGGGTCTTCGACACAGTGGGAAGAAGCCCTTCACACAAAAGACTGGTCTTTGTTTTGCTTTGCCCATTAAACTGATAGAGCACTGTTTCATCATTTGGTCAACATTATTACATGTACAAAGAGAGATTTTTAAAAAAAGGAATCACAAAGACATCTTGAACATCCAACTGTTTCCACAAATATGTCAACTCTTAGATTTAAGAGAGGGCCTTGGGATACTTCAGCAGTCATTAAATAGGAAAATAGAGAGTATAGCTACAAAAATGTAATAAGTGAGTTAGATAAATTAAAGCTTTCACATGCAAGACTTGCCTGTTCCAACTGCCTCAAGGCTATGAAGTTGAAACAGGCAAGTCTCGCATGTGAAAAGGGTGGAGAGTAGGGGGAAATCTTCATTATTACTTGGCTTAAATTGCACTAAGGAAATCAGAAAGGAAAAAAAAAATGAACATGTGAACTTGTGATATATGAACTGTGACACACAGTTTGCTTTTCCATGAGTTTCAAGAATGAAAACTCAGTTCTTCAACATAGCAGGCACTGGCAAAGTCCAAGTCACCTGAGAATTTCCTGCTCAGGTATCCACCTTTCCTGGTATCTGGGAAGATGAAGGCATCTGGGAGGGGTGGGGAGTAGTTGGCATTCTTGAGCTGTAGTTAAATAAGCAGCAGCACACACATTGGCTCTCTAAGAACTGAAGTATGTCTACATGAGGGTATCTACTTGAGGGTTTTAAGGTTGAAGAAATTTTGTTAGTTCTACAACCTTTGTTTTCTGTTTTTTTTTTTTTTTTT